TAAACCCCCTGTCGCCGATCCATCAAGCAATGTGAAGACAGCAGCGACTGAATGCTACCTCAGATAGTCACGTAGTGTGAAAACAACGGCGATCCGACGAGTTTGAAAATCGTGCAGTGTGAACTCGGCATGTAAGTGAGAATAACGCGATATCTGCCTTTGATCTCGTTGGTATCTGTTCCCTTCGAGAGGTCAGAACTGTCTGTCTTGGCTGTGCTTATTTCACTCCTCCTCTCACTGCAGCCGCCTGCTCTCGCCTTCATTTCAGGCGAGGCCAGGCGCATCTCAAACAAGCCTAATGATGATCGCTACGAAATCACGTTCAAGAAGTCTCATTCAGCACACATCGCGATATTTACCATCAGTTTACGTGTGCCACAGGTTGGGTGAGTAGTCTTATAGATGCTGTCTTAATGTCTGTTATAAAATGTAATTCTATCTTCTTTATTAATCAGTTCAATCAGGACCACTTTCGTCAAGTATATTTATTACAATTATATTGCATACAGTTAGTGTTGGCGGTATGGTTATGTTCTGGGCAACACTCCACACGCCTGTCCATGCAGCCATGCTTGGACAGAGCGGGGAGAGCAGCAAGACAAACCCCCCCGGGGTACAGAACAGAACCATTATATGCATACATAATTACAATTCACAGTTACATGAGTTGTAAACCATATGTGATAGAGAATGCTTCCAATGAAGTGACTGTAAGGAAGAAACAAAAGTCAGATCGAATTACAGGTTCAGTTAGGTGGAGTTGGGGTTGGAGGAGGGAGTTAATTGCAAGCAGTGATGCGATGGAAGAGACGCTGAAGAATGGGAATTTAAATAGACCGCTTGTGATAGGTGTCAAGACTGGATTGGTACACGTCAGGAACAGCTGACTGTCGGCTGATGCGAGCTTGACTGACGTGGCCTGCCTGAACTAACGCTATGCTGAATTTCAATCAGGACCACTTTCGTCAAGTATATTTATTACAATTATATTGCATACAGTTAGTGTTGGCGGTATGGTTATGTTCTGGGCAACACTCCACACGCCTGTCCATGCAGCCATGCTTGGACAGAGCAGGGAGAGCAGCAAGACAAACCCCAAAACCAACCATATGCCAAACCCCCCAACACAACTGATGCAATTTATTGCATACAGTTAGTGTTGGCAGTATGGTTATGTTCTGGGCATCACTCCACACGCCTGTCCATGCAGCCATGCTTGGACAGAGCAGGGAGAGCAGCAAGACAAACCCCAAAACCAACCATATGCCAAACCCCCCAACACAACTGATGCAATTGAAATGGTCAGTGATGGGAAATGTTGGCTTAATACTATATTTGTGGGGGAAGCATCGCCCCAACTCAGTAAGGGGGCATGCAACAAGCATGTTGCTTAAGCTGCTTATGCAAATATTTGAATGTACAGGGGGAAGCATACACCTCTAGCAGCAGCAGTCTAATACGATGGCAGTTTGTATATTATCCAAATTTAAGTGTCTAACATGCTATTAAATCGCATTAAGGGGGAAGCGTCACCCCAAGTTAGGCAATCGAGGATATGCAACAAGCATGTTGCTTAAAATGCTTAAAGCAAATATGTGATTGTAAAGGGGGAAGCATACGACCCCTAGCGGCGGCAGGAGGAGCATGTTAATATGCACTAATGCTGTAAATT